CCTCTAAATGGACTCCGAGGGAAGGAAAGGCTTCAATGGAGTGGGTCAGTGGAGCTCTTTAAATAAACTTGATCCACGTGCCTGCTATCTTGAACGCTTTTTACGTTGCAGCAATGAAATAAGACAAACTTCCACTCATTTATAGTGGTCGTTTCTTCTATAAGTTCTTGCTGTAAGGATTTTCCAACGTTCAAGGCTTAATCACGATGGTGATTGCTTGCTGCTTTTAGGATCACCGACTGTTAGAATTTTTCTTTATTTTAATTTTGCTCCACTTGAATTGAATTAATAACATTATGAATGACTGAGGACTCGTGTAGAGCTGTCTCTTATACACATCTAGATGTGTATAAGAGACAGGACCACAACACGCCAGTTTGTGGACCACAACACACCAGTTTGTGGACCACAACCCACCAGTTTGTGTGGGTCTGTGGGGCAGGGGAGGCGGTAGGTGTGGTCCAGTTGTTGGTCCCCGCGCGTGAGTCTGAATTTGGTTTTGGTGAGGTCCCTCAGTGCACCCCTGAGGGAGGATCAACTAATTAATTTAACTAATTAGTTAAGTTACCTATTTAAGTAATTAGTTAAGTTAACTACGTAATTAACAAATTAGTTAAGTTAATTAATTAACAAATTAACTAATTACTTAAGTTAACAAATTAACTCGTTAATTAACTTAACTAATAAACTAATTAGTTAAGTTAACTATTCAACTTAATTAGGAGGTAACTTTAACTACTCAAATGATCACAAATTTTATTACTGGACTTCCGTAAAACAAATCAAACATTAAATATATTTCATTTTTTCACCTAAATAAATAAAAATCTAATCCAAAATCTACTTTCTAGAAAAAAAAATCTACTCAATCGGAAAAAATAAACATTGAGCCCTAAAATTTTTCCACCTAAGAAATAGATGTTAAACTCCAAAATCTTTATCCATCAATCTGCACAAAAATCAAACCTTGAACAAAATATAATTTGTTATCTAAGGGAATAACTCTTCAAGTTTAAAATTTAAAGCACGGGTGAGAGAAGCGACCTGCGCTGGGTGAAGTCGATGACCCAGGGCAGCGTCGGGTGATGTCTGGGGGAACCAAACTCGCGACCAGCGAAGTAAGCCAAACACAGCAGGTAGTCCAGGTTACTGAGACGCCGGTGCACCTGTTAAACATATGTTTGTTTCTATTAATTAATGCACCTGTTAAACATATGTTTGTTTATATTAATTAATGCACCTGACAAACATTAGCATTAGACAATGTGTTTGTTCATATTAATGTACCTGACAAACATTAGACAATGTGTTTGTTCATATTAATGTACCTGACAAACATTAGACAATGTGTTTGATTATATAAAACCTGACAAACATAACATTAGAAAAGGTGTTTGATTATATTAATGCACCTGACAAACATTAGACAATTTGTTTGATTATATAAATACACCTGACAAACATAACATTAGACAAGGTGTTTGTTTACATTTACTCACTCAGGTCTAGGATAAACACACTATTCACCCATCACATTACTTACTATTCACCCATCACATTACTTACTATTCACCCATCACATTACTTACTATTCACCCATCACATTACTTACTATTCACCCATCACATTACTTACTAT